TACAATCTGAGTCGTGTACATCTCTGGTCAAAATCACGTGTGCAATCTATATCTTAATATCCTATGAGTGCCTAAGAAAGGCCTCATTTTTACAACTTTCTCCTGATGAGATATCGAATTCTGACTTGGAATTCTATCTACGTCTACATTCCAAGTGACTTAGCTTGCGTAAACAATTTCGAAATATTTGGAAGAAGTCGTTTCGAAATACTGCAACTTTTATATCTTGTAGATAATATGTTCGAAAATGTTTATATAGGCTAATCTCATTGAGTTATTTATATCAATGAAACCTTTCTAAGTCATTTATAATTCATTGGAATCTGCATGATCTATAGTATCGACACAAAATAATAATAATAAATGTACATATCCTCTTGTCACGTACTTTTAGAAAGCAAATAAAACAAACGAATGTTTTCTCGCGTCTGATAAGAATAGTACATAAAACTCAAAGAGGCTTGTTTTATTGACTTTCTGGAAAAGAATCATTACCTTCTTCTTTAATTTCATGTTCTGATTGATTATCATCTTTTGTTGTTTCATTTTCATTTTGATCCATCGCTATGAATAGTTTATCTTCATTGTCTCTATCATTCATATTATCACTATCATTGGTATTATCACCATCATTAATATTATCACCATCGTCGTCTTCATGACAATCATTATCATTATTATCACATGTTGTTTCTAATCAAAAGTCATCTGTTTTTCTTTTTCGTTTTTAAATATCGTTGGAACTTACTAGTAAATCGACTGTCATTACCATCAAAATTTTCTGTATCTTCAATATCGGGTATAATACAAGCTAAAAAAACAATCTTTAAAAAAATACCAATAAACCAAAAAAATTAAACTAAACTAACGATTTTTGTTCTTTCTGCTTCGTTTTATTATGGAATGTGTGGTCAGAGATGATGTAGAAGATTTTTGTTTTGATTGACGCCCTTGATCCTGTGCAACAATGATGGAACTTTCACTGTTGTCATCATCATGATAATCTTCTTCTTCTTTTCTATCTTGTTGTACATCTCCATTTGATGGAATGGTACATTTACAACCTGGACAATGATATTGACTTAATTGTTTTTTTAGTTTTTTATTAACTGCTATTAACTGTCTATATTTTCGATAGATTTTATTGGCATATGTTTCATTGATTTCGTTATAAGCATTTGTNGCCCATTGGGTAGGATACCACTAGATTAGAGAAACCTCCAAAGGATTCGTGCCCATATTGAGATTTGACAGAGATATCGAATTTTTAGTGGATTTTTCCTGTTGGACCCTAGTTCTACAGAAAAATCATAGTTCCAAATTTCGACCAGAAACTTTGCCCAAATGAAGGCCTCGATCAGAGTAGCTTGTATAAACAATTTCAGAATTTTTGGACATTGCATCTCCAAGGTATCAATTTTTGAAAATATAGGCAATTTTCTATAGATAACATGGATACTTTGAAAGATTGATACCTTGGAGATGCAATTTCCAAAAATTCTGAAATTTTTTATACAAGCTACTCTGATCGAGACCTTCATTTGGGCAAAGTTTCAGGTCGAAATTCGAAAATATGATTTTTCTGTAGAACTAGGGTCCAGCAGGAAAAATCCACTAAAAATTCGATATCTCTGTCAAATCTCAATATGGGCACGAATCCTTTGGAGGTTTCTCTAATCTAGTGGTATCCTACCCAATGGGCAACATATGAGCTCAAAAGCTTTTAATCACTTGGGAATGTTCCCTCGTCAGTGGGTAGTACCCACTGAGTACTGAACATTTATGAATAAATTGCTGTGAAATCTCCTAGAATGGTCTTGGGGTACTTTTTGAGAAATCCCATATAATGCGTTGTGAGAGTTTCACCGGAAACTCAATTAAACATCGACGGAGGAGATATTGGAGATAAATGCAGATAATCTTTAAATAGTTCATGACTTTTAATAGCGATCCATTTAGATATATTCATGGAACTTACCGATCCTTGCTCGAAAAAATCAATCATAATAAATAAGTAACTGTTTACTATATCTCCTATATTTCTGTATCTTCTCCGTCGATGTTTAATTGAGTTTCTAAGGAAACTCCGAAGACATCTAATCAGACATACCGAAAAATGAGCCTTCTCCTATAGAAAATACACCCAAGTTTGCTTAGAAGTTATTCAAAGAGTCTCATCATATGAGATAAATCATACCTACTTAGATCTACCTAAAATTACAGTAGAAACTATGCTTTTTGTTATAAAACGTTTTAATTCAAAACGATAATGCATTTTGGTTTATAGAAAAACACTTAATCTGTCGTTAAATTATCATGTATTAAAAATGGTTACTTGAAAAGTATTTTTTCTAACAAGAAAGATGTAATTCAAGGTGATAAACACACTGGAATAGTATGATCTTGTATAGAAGAAAATCGCTACAAAAATAAACGTTTTCAAGCATTCTCGGTGAATATAATTTTTGTTGTAAGACAGTGAGAAGACCCATAATGTGACAGTAGTTTTTTAATATGGTTTCATATACATAAATGACAAAAAGTTACTTTCTCTATTTAGTGGTTCTCTTAATATAATTACTTGAAGATAAGAAAAGCGATTGAATTATTTTGGTAATATTAAGTTTAGTAATACTATCATATAAAATGAAATTTCGAGGATTTGTTACTATCTTTTGAATATTTCTCACCTCATATATCCATTCAATGGAAAAGAAAACGCCAATAGTAGAATATTTAAAAATTGAGCTTTCTATAAAATAATACTCTTTTTTTTGCTTACTCAATTCATGTGAGTTAAATGATTATTTACTTTCCTTAGATTCATGAGCACATTTTCTTCATAAGGATTTCCTAAATCTTGATGAATAAAGAGCAAGCTAGAGAGATTTGAGCACCATCTTGAACATGAGGGATAGATTATTAGCAATCTTAGAGCTGCTTTTCGCTTTCAATTCTTCATTTTCAGAATGAAAGGAAAACCGTAAAACAATGCTCTCAAATTTAAACGCAAAAAATTATATCATTACCAATTTTAGGATAAATTTAGTTTAAGAACCAGAACTCTGGATATGGAAAACAAACTTTGAAGATGTGTTATTCGATTCAAGCAATAAGATCTTTACTAGCTTTAGAATTTTTTCCAGCTATAATATCCTAACTTTAGAGCAGAAAGATAAACTATGGAGATAGAAGAAAAATCAAATCTTACTGATGTTTCTAAAGATCTTTTTTAGTGACCATGAATCTAATAAGGAAATAATCATATACTTATTTGCAAAGAATTTCTCTCTCAAACAAAAGTATTTCAATTTGAAGCAAAAAATATATATGTCAGGGAAAATTAGTAGTTGATAATAAAATCTGAGTTTTTCTTTTTTTTTAACATAGTTTGATAAGACGAATATCTAAAGTGTGGGTGTGGGGTATGGCTGTGGGTCTTTCCCCGTCTATACCCACACCCACACCCTTGTTGTTTTCTTTCGTTTTCTCTCGTTATTATAATTTGTTATAGTTGTTACATTGTCATAAAAATGTTGACAGGACACAGTTTTTTGTTCAAAAGGGGAGCATGTTACGGTGATGTCGTACGTTAACATATTCACTATCTTCTTGTTATCCTCTATTCTCTTTCATCTACTTTTATCTCTAATTGGTTTCATTCCTTTTTGTTCTTACATACATGTTATGTATGTTATGTGTCTTCTTCCTTTCCATTTATAATAAACACGGCGCATAAATATCAGCATATACATCACCAATATATATATAGAAAGGAAAGAGAAAGGAAATGCTAACAATAGTTATGATAGTTGCGTAGGGATCGAAAACGTATCTGCATTTGATCTTTGATTCTTCAATCAAACTAATGAGTAGAAGCATATATTATAGAGCAATTTTTATTAAACAAAACAAAAACTTAACAAATTCAAAAATATAATATAAAATATTTCATAAATGCATCACAGCGGTATACTAGAACGAGTTGACTTAAGAATGCAACGGTGATGGTTGACCATCGTTACCGTTGCATCCATAGCTTGACTATGAAAAATCAAAATCATTATCAGTATCATCACCCTTATTGTCCTGACTGAGATAATTATCTGGAGACTCTAGTGAACATGGAACAGTAGAATATTGTTGATTGCGTATCGACTGGGACACATGAGACCGAGAAATCGTTTTCTCTATACAGAAGAAAGACTAGTGCAATCAAAGAAAGAATCAAAGACACCTACGTTCTCGGATAATGGAAGTAAATGATATTGGAGATACAGGTATATATCGTTCATTGTCAACAACGCATAACTGAAATGCTAGTCTACATAAATCAAGTTGTTTGGCTTCGATAATTTCTTTTGTTATCCATTGATTTTGATATGAATTGAACATGTGAATTCGTATTCTATATACAAAATACATAAAAGTGATAGTAAAATCATCGAGAAAAAAAACAAGTTCAATCACTTACTCTTTTAATTGAGCACTATGCTCTGTTGGAGTAATCTGTAAGTAGATGTGTCTTGTGATTGGATCAAAATAGTCGATCGAATTACATTCATCGAAATTCAAACAGTTTAGATTATTATCATGAGAAAGTTGATCCATCCGCACTATGATTTTTGGTGGTCCAATTACTTTAGATTCATGAGGCTGCATATCATGAGTCACAACTGATATTTTAACATACATCAGTTGAGAATATTCGTTAGGAACCTGAAAATTATATAAGTTTTTCTATGATAACTTGTCATTATAATGATTAAAAGCTTACTGTTATTCTGATTGGTGTTCGTTGAGGACCATCACCAGATAGGAAAGGAATATATTTTTTTGCTAAATCTTTTATACTTCGATAATGCCAGTCTAATTTTGATTCCGTTAAAAGTTTTGGTGCATCATATAAATGGCTTAATAGCATTTGTCTATCGCAAGTATTATTAGTTTTGACGCATAAAACATCAGGTGATCGAGGAAGACATCGATAGAATTTACCGGTTTTTGATAAATCGAGAGGAGAATTTTGTGAATCATTACTATCTGTAATAGAATGGACCTGGCTATCAATGTTGTTCGTATCAATTTCTAAATAAATACAAAAAATAATACTCATATATGAAAAAATTTCAGCATTTGTTTAGAATAAAAATAAATAAGTCATATAGAATATGATCAATTTGATTTTTTGGAAAGAATATTTTGAAATTATTTTAAAAATAATGCAGCATAGTATATATATATATATATATGTATGTATATACATACCAGGATAATTGATTTGGACTACCATGCTCGAAGTTGATTATTAATGTGTCAATTCTCTATTTTGGATCAGTAATAATATCTGAAATATTAATATAAAAAATTGTTGTTTTTCAATCGTTCTGACATTATGCTAGATTTTGAAATCATGATGAAAATGACAACAGAACAAAACTAGCTGAATGAAAAGATTAAATCAAGAACATCAACGATTATATTTATTCAAACTATTGCTATTAGGTAATATCGAATTACTTATCAATTGTTTAATTTGAATTGGATTGAATTTATCTGTTATTAATATGATTATTGTTCATGATTGAAAAATATTTAATTTCATATTTTTCTTGTATCGAAACAATTCTGTTGGATGTTGACATATAATTTATACTAAAAAATTCCATGAAACAAATCGAATCTATTAATTTTGTAAATAAACAGTTGAATTTTATAATGTTACAATTGATTGTTCACACATATCAAATTGAAATTCATACCATTTTATACTTCTCATTAAGTCAAATAGTAATTATTCGAAATATGCTGAATAATCATTGAAAAAATATCCCATGATTGTTCCGACTCAGCTCCTTTTCTGTTGGCTTGCTTTTGTTATTTCAACTCCTGACTTTGTATATTTGTTGTTTCAAGACATTGTGAAAGCAACAGAACGAAACAGTAATAGTTAATCGTTGGAGAAGTATGAGTCACATTCATCTACAAATATTTGTCCCTTCATCGCTTGGATAATGACCTGTCAATAGTAACGGTATTAAGCATGTTTATGTGTCAAGACATATATTAGACTTTTGAATTCAACATGACGCATATTGAGCAACAGATCTTGAAAGATCCTAACTAATTGAAAATCACATATTATAGAAGTAATGATAAGAAATAAAAAAAGTCAATAAATGCAATATAGTAAAATATCAGAAATCCACAAATAAAAATAATAACGTCACCTGAAAATGGCTTATAGAAGAAACACGAAAAATTATTGTTGATCTTTGAACGCTGTTTAAAAAGAAGTGTCTGTAATTATTATTAGCATAAAATTCTAACATAAACATCCTATTTAGTTGTTATTATAACTTTGAAAAACAAAATGTAATATTTTTCTATTATAATTATAATAGAAAATTGATGAAAAGAACTGAACATCTACAGTTTCCTCAAGAATATTGCATATTTGACATGAAATCATGTTACAATCTGCATGTAAGTTGTTTAAACTCTTTCTCACAATAGAAAACTCCGAGTCTTCTATTGTATCTCAATATTTTTTATAATTTTTAACTAAAACGGATTTTCGAAGAGGTTCTTAGGGTTTTAAAAGCCTAAAAGTAATGTTTACTTCCCTCTTTTAACCCTTTTCAGAGTGAAACTCTGAAAACTACTCATATTTGATATAAATATACTAAGTAAAGTTCTAATCTTACGAGCAAATAAACTAATGGAAGTCAGTCTTCTATTACAGAAACAGGTTTAATTTATAATTTGATTTCATGTCAGATTCACAAAAATATGTTAAAAGATGAACAATAATTTTTGTTACCATTTTTATTCGCTTTGATATACTTTTGAAAAAGCTTGTCAAATAATATGATAGGATTAGTCTAAAACAGATGAATGAAAAAGAGTAGTGTATGTTTATTAACCGTAGTACGTAAGTTGCTCACTTTCGAGGAAAACAGATCTTTAATACATGCATACTTGGTAAATTCATGAAACTGTATAAGAAATTTCCAACATGATGACTAATGAGAAGAAAAAAAATGAAATTAAATGTCTATTCCTACGGAAGAGTAGATTTCGCAATAATTCTACACACGTTATAAATTTGATTAAAATAAAATTAAGAGAAAGAGAGAAGTGAAAGAAAGAAATAAAACCTTTTATGTCACCTGTAAACGAAAGATAATAGATATTTCCATTACGAATTTAATACTTGGAAATTTCTTCGAAACATTTTATCCCAAGTGTCATGTTACAAATTACTTTGGAAAAGAAACACTTAGAAATTTGATAGTTATTTTGCTATAGAATATTTTAACAAGAGGCTATGCGGCATTTGTCATCAACATGCAGCTAAGTATGAAAAACTGAACAAACATAGTGAATTATTTAGTTGCCGATGATGAGTCATATCAAAAGAACAACATGAGAGTAATAATGTTGGCATTAGCAATGCGGAAAGAAAACAAGTGCCTTATGAAACTATTAATCAAAATATTCTGTCTTATGCGACTTCCTTAATTGCACTCATCAAGCCTAACTATTAGTCGTTCTCTAACGAAGGTAACCAATCGTCAAAATAGATTGCTCATTCGTGTATTTCTGTGGACACAGTTATTTATAGAAAATACATAAAAGTAGAAAGTAAACGACATTTTTTTTACTTGTTATACATTTTGTATGTTGATGTCTCGCAGTTCAATATGTTTTCATCAATGATGAATCATTTTAAAAGAAGATTTCTACATATTCACTAGGCAATTCAAGAAAAATATACTACGGAAAATTTTTATCGATCAGGTAAGCGAGATTGTTTTATGGTTTGAATAAACAATTACTAAGAAACAACAAATATCTGGATTTTGTAGGGCATCAATAATACTCACTGGCATGACAGTCGAAATTATCGGTATAGGAGTACTGTTATCAAAGAGATTTAGTCAAAAGCTCAGATTACAAATATAAAAATGTTAATCGTAAATCAAAGTCTTAAGAGGGAAGTCTCCCAACTTCTTCATCTCTGTTGAGTCAGGATTACGTGCATCATGTACACTCAAATGAACTATTAATACACTGAAAAGAGTTCGGATACTTAACTTATTGCTGATGAGATATTGTATTTCTAGGGTATTTTTTTTTGTTAGTGCTGTAGTGGCCCCTCTGAAACACTAGGAAAACCAATTTTCTAATTTTGATTCGAAACGTTGCACAGAGACAGATCTTAACGAAAATAATTCGTTGTAAAAGTGTCAAACCATTGCGTTGTTTCTATCCTACGATAGAGCTATGATAAAAACGTGACTGTTACACTGCTCATATATACTGGCAGATTTGATGTTCTTATTTCAGAAAAAAAAAGAAGAAAATCNAAATTTCTTTCTTCACATTAGGTAATTTATCACATGCACTTTTGAATAATTTAAGATATTTGAACCATGGTTTCATTTGAGATTTATCTTCAAAACTCCATGCTTCTTGCAAATGATCATAGAGACATTTGTTGTCCCATTTCATTGTATAAATATAAATAGCAGCTGATTCATCACGTGTAAGATTATGTTCTGATGGATAGTGGCATTTGCTTTTAGCTTCTTTGATATAATAAGCTAATTGATCAATTCGACCATGAAAGGGTTGAAGTGCTTCTTCGAGAGACACAAGTGGTTCATTGAGATAACCATCAATAAGTTTCAAAGGATTGTTTGTACTAATGCCAGGTTTCAAAAAACGTTGCATTGTTGAATCGTCTCTCATTATAGCGGGACTTTTTTTTATCATCAATACAGTCTCAGATTTACGTATTAAAGCTGGAGTTTTGGTTCTGTATACTTCAGGATTATATGTAGGCTGAACAACGTTACTCTTACCACAGCAGGAGCAGCACGTAGCACCCATCTTTCTGGAGAGATTGTGCAAGTGTTTTAAGATCGATTGTTTAGCACAAAACTACAAAAGAAAGTTGTTTGTATAACAATTTTGCTTTCACTTTGGCTACTGCAAAAAAAAACGACGAGAACGACAAAAAATTATTTTCTTATGATATTTTCTATTGTTAATGAAGGGTTTTTATGTAAGCATACACTGTGTAAATACAAAATGCATGTCTAATACTGCCTTTATGATTTGTCAAACAAAAAGAAATATTTACACTTACAAAAATCAATGTATACCTCTGGAAATTTGAAGTTCAAGACAGCAAGAAAATGCATACTGTGTATCTACTTTTCTTATTCATAGTAAGAGCAATCTACAATTGTGTAGATGATATTTTTGATGGATTTTCTGGAAATTAGTTTAAATACTGATATGATTCATTAATGTCCAGATGTAAAAGACACTAGAGATATGTAAAGCAAAGGAGATTATGGGATCATGCATACTACAAATTGATTGAATTCCCAGAAAATCCATAATAAACATGTAAGTAGTTCATGTGATGTGACATACGAGCCACTATTCTCTTTTATTAATTTTTTTTCGTAGCCTTGAAAACAATTAATTTTTTCTTAACGAAAGCCAAATATTTTCACAAAGGCATGCATATATGTGCGTATGCTGACGATGCAAGCTTCAATCATTCTTACTTATTTATATGAAGCCATAACAACTTTTTTCAATTCTTATTAGTTTGTTTGATCTTGTATATACACGCCTATGTTGGTATTTCTTGTTACTCGATGCAAAATTTTCATAGCACCAAATAAGAATTTTAAATTAACAAAAAAAAACACAATTCTCTTGTCATTCATCCAAAAATACATTTTGTATAGCATGGGTAAAAAGAAACTGACCACAGTCAGTAAAACTTCCACTGGAATAAAATCTAAACAAATAAATCAATCTACGAAAGTTAAACCAACAACAAAATAAAACAAACATTGTCGACTATTTCGACATCACGATCGAATAATACTAATACAATATTGCAATCTACAGAAGATTATTTTATTATTCAAAATTATACTCTCTTCTGATTGGACACGAACATAAATGTAGATGATGATTATTATCTTAATACAATCACACAACTACAATCAATTGTAAATAATATTCATATATTTAATGAAGTTGATCAATGTGTTCATTTTCTGAATAAAATTAAAAAACAAAAAGTATTTATGTTAGTATCTGGTAATATCAGTCAACATATCTTACCACATATTCATAACATGTCTCAGCTTATAGCAATCTTTTATCTTTTGTGAAAATAAGTCAAAATATAAATCATTAGAAAAAAATTGGCTCAAAGTTTGAGGTATTTCTAAAAATATGACTATTTTATGTTAATCATTACAACAAGTAGCACATCAATATGAAGAAGATTCTATAATGATCAAAGTGTTCATGATTTAGTTACTTATTGTCGCAATAAATATTCTAATAATCAGCAAGAATATAGTAATAACTCACCTATATGGTGGTATACTTATGAATGTTTCNTTTTTCCATACAGAGGTGTATCAAGGTCCCTTCTATGTGTGCTATAAAAATCAGAACCATCCAAGGTCGGAAAGTCTAGGAAAAACCAGATTTTCTAGAGACATGTGCAACAGAAAAAAAATTTTTTTTTTAACATAAAGTTATATTATGAAATGGTATACCTATGCTTACGTATAAGCGGAAAAAAAAATTTTCTACAAGTTTTTTTTATTTTGCATTTTTCTCGAAGCTAGTTTTTTGGGTATCAAAAACCAGTTTTCCCTCTTTTTCTCCGCCACTTCAAGTCCGATCGGGCTGAAAATTTTTTTGGTGAGACTTCAAGTGATTTGGGTTGAGACCTTTGTTTTTTTTGGATACCTTCTACCAATCAAGTTTGGCAGGCTTCGCAAAATTTTTAGGATCTAAAAAACCTAGAGATTTTGCGAAGTGCTCAGTATTTTGGTTCTCCAGCCTGAAGTATTTGTAATCTTTGAAACAAAAAAAAACGCCCACCCCGATTGGGTCCGTCTACCCACAGTAAAAATTTCAGCTCAAACGGATGAAATCTGTGGATTTGCGAGAGGGAAAACGTTTTGCAAGTTTTTGACCTTGGGGTCTCTGGAAGTCCATGACGATGGCGTCTGGCAAATTTGTGTCTGTGACAACTTTTGCTCTACTACTCGAGGTCTATCTACCCTGAAAGTTTCAGGAATTTTTGTTCGGCCGTTTCTTAGAAATGTCGGAAAGGAGGGGGGTCCCCTTAAACTATTCTCGTCAGAATGGTTCTCTATGCAGTTTCAAATCAAAATTTGAAAATGAGTTTTCCTTGTATTTATGAGGGTAACTGCAGTATTGATTTGAAAAAAAAGATTCTTAAGAATATCCCATGCCCTCAAAATCGCCACACTTTGAACGATTAATCGCGATTCTCAAGAAAATCGCCGATTAAATCGGGCGATTAATCAGCAATTTTTGTCGAAATGGCACATAAATCGTGATTTCCCGCGAAAAATCGCCAAAACTCACGATTTTCTTATTAAAAATCGCCAATTTCAGCGATTTTATCGCGATTTACGAACCCGATTAATCGTGAGATTAAATCGCGATAAAATCATCGATTTTCACTTGAATCTTTACATCGCTAATATTATGGGAAATTGCATGACATTATTCATCTTTTCGTCTCACTATATCAGCAACTCTATTTTTCTTCGTGGTGAACCTCTTTGGTTGTCTTATTCCCTCTTTTTCTATAGATTATATTTGTTACCGTTCAATTCAGTTCTTACTTTGGAACAAGAAACATGAAGAAAACGGAGTCGAGGAGGGCCTTGCAATATCAGTCTAATGTAATCTACCTATTTCATGAAAGTCCTGTTGTTTTTTAAGAATGTTGATTTTGTTGCAAAAAGTGCAAAAAAATCGTCAGTTTTGACGATATGTCGCGATATAATCTCATGATTAATCGGGCGATTATTCGTGATAAAATCGTCGATTTTATGGCGATTTTGAGGACATGGGCAGTGATGATGATTTTGAATTTGGTTTCTCTATGAGTTTTTCATCAAAAAATACTTCCTGCCAAATTTTTCTCTTCTAATCCGGCAATTTGTCGAATGCACTTTGAAATAATCTCAAATATTTGAACCATCGTTTCATCGTAGCTCGATCTTCAGTTTTCCATGCTTCTTGTAAATGATCATAGAGACAGTTGTTAGCCCATTTCATTGTATAAATATAGATAGCAACTGATTCATCACGTGTCAAATTATGTTCTGATGGATAGTAACATTCTGTTTTAGCTTCTTTGATAAAGTGAGATAATTGATCAATTTGATCATGGAATGGTTGAAGAGCTTCTTCGAGAGATACAAGTGGTTCATTGAGATAACCATATATCAGTCTCAAAGGATCGCTTGTACTAATGCTAAGTTGTGAAAATCGTTCCATTGCCAAGTCGTCTCGCATTTTAGGCGAAGTTCGAATTTTAAACGATATAGTCTCGGATGGAGGTTTTATAGGTAGAATATCGGTTTCAGTCGATACATTCTCAAAGTCAAGTATTTCAGGTGAAATTTTCATTCTGGTTAATATAGTCTCACGTTCAAGTGTTACAGAGGGAATTTGGGTTCTGTCTACATCAGGATTACATGTAGATTGCACAGGGTCACTCTTACAGCAGCAACCAGCACCCATCTTCCTTAAGAAAATATAAATATAATTTACGATCGATAGTTCTCCATAAAACTACAAAAAAAAAGTTGTTGATATATTAACCCTTTGAAGGCGGACTTTTTCTTTATAAAAGGACTAAAATCGTAGTGTCAGAATCAGTTGTAACCTGAAACGTATTAACCATCATAATTGTTATACTGGTTCTTATTGCAAAGGCACAAATAGAGAAGTTTGAAATAGAAAAAGGAACAAAACACTCAAAGAATCTACTTGAACAAAGCTAAAGATTTTCATTTCTACTGGAATTTTCAAACCGTATATATACGGGCTTTGCCCTCAAAGGGTTAATTTTACTTTGATTTCGACAATTTGGAACAAACGACAAGAACAAAGAAAAAGTTATTTTCTTATTATATTTTTTTACTGTTAATGGAAGATTTTATAGAAGCACGTACTGTGTAAACAGAAAATGTACACCTAATACTGCCTTTCTCATTTTTCAATAAAAAAAAGAAAACTTACGCTTCCAAAAATCAATGGTTGCCTCTGAAAATTTGAAACTCAAAACGGTTTTCCTTAATAGTAAAAGTAACACATAATTAGTTATATAGATGATACTTCCTATCGATTCTCTGAAGATTTATTTAAGTCCTGAACATATTCATGAATATCCAGATATAAGAGATACTATAGATAGAACACCTTGAAACACAGTCAAATCTTTTTCACAAAGTCATAAAAGTGTGCGTGCATGCTGAGAAAGCGAGTTTCAATCAGTCTTACTTATTTCGATGAAGCAATAACAACTATTTCCAACTCTCTTCGTTTTGTTTTATTTTTTAATGCATATCTATATTGGCAGTTCTTATTATTCGAAGCAAAATATTTCTATCAGATCAATCAGAATTTCCAGTTAACAAAAAGAAACAATTCTCTTACCATAAATATTAAAAGAAAATCATTAAAAAAAGGAATCTATAAAGTTGCATCGCTCGTGTTTCGATTCATTTAATGCTTATTTGTTTAAGAGCTATTACACAACATGGACAAAAAGAAACTGACCACCGTCAATAATATCTCCAGTGGCGCAAAATCTAAACAACTCAATCCTCCTGCTAAAGCTAAACTAGCAACAAAACAAACATCACTATCGAATACTCCCGAAACACTATAGCAACCTTCAGACGATTCTTTTATTATTCAATGTTAATACGCTTTTCTGGTTAGATACGAACATTCATTGAGATGATGAACATTATCCTAGTACAATCATACAACTACAATCAATCATAAATAGTATTCATGTATTTAATGAAACTAATTAATGTGTTAATTATCTAAACAAAATTAAAAAACAAAAAGTATTAATGTTAGTATCTGGTAATCTAGGGCAACATATCTTGCCATGTATTCATAACATGTCTCAGCTCATAACAGTCTTCATCTTTTGCGAGAACAAGTCGAAATATGAATAATTAGAGGAAAATTGACTTAAAGTTCGAGATATTTGTACAGCTACTACCAATCTTTATAAATTATTGCAACAAGTAGCATATCAATATGAAGAATATTCTATAGGTATAAGTTTATTCTCAGCAAATGATGTCTCTGGTCAATATTTGAATCAACTTGACCAATCGTTTATGTATACACAATTAATTACAGAAATTCTTCTTGAACTCGAAAATAATGATCAAAGTTCTCATAATTTAGTTAACTATCATCGTAATAAATCTTTTAACAATCAGAAACAATTGGAAAACATTCAAAAAATTCAGCAAGAAACATGGCAATGAGTCATTGTATACTTATGAATGTTTCATTTAGCATAAACTTAACGGTGCTCTTCATGAACAAGAATTCGATGCTATTAGTAGAATGGCATTTTTTTTATTTGCGATTTACATCGACACATTGAAGGACTTCATATGCAACAATTGAACAAATTTCCAAAAGAATTTAACGTCTATCGTGGTCAAGCTATGACGCCAGCAAAATTCGAAAAACTAAAACAACAAAAGGTGGATTGCTATCGTTCAATAATCTCTTATCAACAAGCAACGAAGAAAAGATTGGTTTGCAGTCTGTGGAAAAGGCTTTAAGTGATCGTATGTAGGTATGGGGTGTGGATGTGGTGTGTTGATGTGGGTGAAATCTCTTCTTGATCCGCACACCCACACTTATGCTCCGAGTAATAACTGATCCATACGATACTTGGCCAGAATAATTTATTTAATACTAAAAGGATTAAAGCATGTTTTAATAAAAAGCTTTGATATAAATAAATTGAACAAACTTAAAAAAAACAATCGCAGAAGTCATTCAGAAGCCTCGATCTTACCAAAAGTCTGTTTTCCGCTTTGTTTGAATCTCTATCGTTAGAGTTTAAAATATATTTTGTTCAAAACTTATCATAAGAAATGGTTGTTATGAGGTTGTAAATAAATTTTGATCAAAACAGTGGTAAACCTATCCAATTATATCTTGGTTATTACAGAGTGTGAATGTGTGTGAAGAGAAGCCCGACAGCCAACGAGAATCAACATCACCTACACTCTCTGAATTCGACTCGCTTTCAGTATCTTGTTCTTACTCTTTTAAAGATAAGCTGGAGAACAACACAAATATATATGGCGCAGTACGACAACCGGCGTTAGAAAAAAGAGAAATATATCTGCAGTAACAACAGTAATAAGTGTATTTACGTTTGTCATGTCATCAGGCATGGCGCATGTTTTTAGATGCTAAACACGATTCATATATATATATATATATATATATAAAGTAAGGAGGTGGTTAAGCACATTTTGTACGTTTTTAGATTCGCCGTCAATGACTCCTTACTAAAGATATCCAAACGGTGATTTCGATAGCGATTCATACGGTCTACAAAATTGAATTATGCACATTTTTTCAAACCTAGTAAGAATCTCGCATTTTCAGCTCCAAATCCTGTCAGAAATCACCATGTTTTCCTGAGAAAAACTTGTTATCACGGACTGTGCATTATCGTGACAAGATGTGAGATAGAATTCTATCAGGATCCTGCTCCGTTTTACATTACATGTCGAAGAGGACCGAATCAGGATTTTGATAACTCCTAGTTGACAAAAATTGGAGTAAGTTTCATAGTAATTTCATCCCACATCACATCACTGTCTTGTGTTTCTTAGAAGTAATTTATCAAGATTTTATAAGGATGTAATGGTGATCTTCAAAGGATCATGTGATAATCTAAGTAGCAGAACATTAAAGGAATGAATACATAGAATATTGATTTTCAGACCTTCAGCTTATGAATTGAGCAGCTTACCCACCTGGAATGTGACATGTTGCCATTTGTGATTTTCATGTTTGATTTCGTGTTTGAAGCTCAAACGTTTAGTCCCATCCGCATCATTTTTGCAAAATGTCTAATACTAAGAAATTAATACAAAAAAAATGAAATATCATTCCCTAACATCGCAGCTAACTGACAAAATCTGTTATTCGGAGTTCGTTGCAAATGAGTTTTACAGAAAATTGTCAATCATCTGTTATTCGCGAATGAAGAAAATTATAGAAGCTATTTGACTGTACACTTGCGCTGTGCTACGCATTGTTTTACAACCAGCAATGCAATGCCAAATTTCGATTTATTTCACATTTCTAACAGTTTTTTCGAGTTCAACCTGAGAACAGAGTTGCAGAGGATTCGATTCTTTGCAGGGTGAGAGTGCGGATCTGATCTTCTCTTCATTCTCACCCATTCTTCGTTCGTCCGCTCAGAACGAATTGATGAATCTACTTGCTATCATTACACGCTGCCTCTCTTAACATCAGTCAGCAGATTTTTTAATTCCATTTTTGATCATGTCCACTGAGTGCTGGTGAAAGTTCGAATCACATAAATCGCCAGTGATTTTCTATTAAGAGAATTCCATGACTTTGATAGCAGTTCTATATGTTCGCCGTCAATATTTATTTCTTATTGTTTGACGCTCAAAATGATGACCATTCTCTATTGAACGGTGTTACTCTTGTGCTATTTCGGGAGAATCGATGTTATATTCCGGTACGAATATCCTCAAGTCAGTACAAACGCGAAATGGTCATCGAATGTAGCAAACAAAAAACCTATACTATCTTGTAGTCAGTACAATTGTCTTTCCAATGAACTATGACTCGATATATTCGTTATGAATTGTCAGGAGCTATGGAAACTAAAAGATTCGAAGGTTTCTTTGTGTTCACCTGTGAAACTACTCCGACAATCGAAATTTCACTCATGATAGGGAGACGGAATTCTAGCTTGATTTTGAATTCCTAGCCATTTTCTGTTATTTTACACTTCATAATTTGGAAGGTTTGAGTTTGTAAAGTTTAAACTTTCATCTTGCTGCTGATTTTTTTTCAAATACCGAAAAATAATCTCAATGCGAAATCTTGCACACCGTTCGAAAATTGAATTCAGACGATCCATTTTCAAAAATATTATATAATTTTGTTCACTTTTCAATATCTTTTTACTGGTGTACTGCAAAGTTGAAATTGAAAACGAAAATTTTCTATTAATATTAAATAAAATTAATAATATACAGTAAAAAAAACATATGAGAATAGGATCTTTGAAAAATACTTATTAATAAAATGTAGCAATCATATTCTGCGTTGAATTGTACATAAACGAGCTTTCAGTTATTATTTGTTAACGAAAAAATGGTTGTATATAGACAGTGCGCTAAGTTATATTGGTTCAAGAAAAAAAGTTTCTTTATAAAAGGCGGAAATCATTGAGTAAGTTGTCACTTACGAAGAATCTGACAAGTAAAGTGTGCTAGACATTCCCTATTTTATATATATACATATCTATAATAATAAAAATACAGTTCATTTTCAATCTATTAAAGAAAAATAGCTACAACCAACTCTTACAAATTGATACAAGGTAATGATGACAACAATAATGAATTATAAAAGAAAAAATGGCTTGCTTTTGAGATTGTTATATCTGCAAAGTATATTTAATTTGGTTCAATTGG